ACTGGCTCCCAGACGTCTGCTGCCTCAGCTCCGACGTACTGGACTAAGATAGCCGCCACAGGGCTGCACCAACGGCAAGCACTTTTCTTGAATCCAATACTCCTTGAGCATTTCTGACAAGGCTTTAAGTTAACACTTCCAAGCGCTGTGAAAACCGTCTAGATAGATCATAAGAACCATCCAGATCTTTGCCAATATTGCATTATATGTTTATCATCGGAGGAGATTTTCAGAGGTCCTTACAGTCTTACTATTGATGCAAAGTGCCTCGCCACCCCTTATTATTATGATATCTCTACTCCTCACTCTTCTGGAATCAATCACATGCACCTCAGCTGCACTAGCGAACTACAGGCACGCCTAAGAAACCTTGTCAGATTCTTGACAATCGCCAAGAGAAGACTTCTGTTATAAGTGAGATTTCATGTACTCACTTTAATACCTTTACCTGATACTAAATTAACATCCAGAATTTGTATGCCTTAGCTTACATCCCCTCATTTCATATTGCAATATAGTACATCTCCAAGTGAAGCGTATTCCACTGCATACTAATAACTCCATTTTACTTGGTCTGTCTCTATCTTAGATCATCAGACCCTACCCAACCTCAATCGCATCTCTCCATCCTCTTCATCCTTCTGTTTTCTTCTCTTAATACTCTACATTTCTCTAACTGCCTTATACCTAATTACCTATATTCCTAGTCCATCTATTCTTATATTTTCTATTCCTAACCTAGAACATACAGCCACACTACAGGGCACGAGATTCTTTTCTGTTGCGTTGACTTCCCTGTCATCCTCAGTACCCTAGAACCAGCTACCTGGCTCAGAGTTGATCGCTTCTAACAGATACCCTTAGGTTGATGAAACAAGAGTTAAACTGCTAACGCTGTAATTCTGAAGAAAAAGGACTGTTTACACACACTCTGACCTAGCACAGACTCACTAGTCTAACTACCTGCTTTTATTTATTACCTTACTCGTTTAAAGGGAAGTTCTTTTTTTTTTCCTGAGACGAGTCTCATCGCTCTGCCCATCGCCTTCAGAGTTGCCAATGGCGTCAGCTAGCTCACCAGCAACCCTCAACCTACACACACACACGGTCAAGTGATCTTCCCATGCCTCAGCTCCTGAATAGCATGGAACTACAGGCACTCGCGCGACCCCACCATGCCGGATACAAGTTTTTTCTATTTTTAGTAGACGCCCGGGTCTCGATGTTTTGCTCGCTGGTCTTCGCACCTCCTGAGCTCGAAACTGATCCACCCTGGCCTCGTCTTCCCAGAGTGCTAGGATACAGGCCATCGAGCCATAACTGTGATTCGGGGAGAGGTCATTGCTCTGTCACCTGGGTAGAGCTGCAGTGCGTGTCATGACACCTAATACCAACTCCTCCGTGGCTCAAGCAATCCCCCTGGCCACCATCCTCCGAAGCAGCTGGGCCTCACAAGGCATACCGTCCCCCCCATGCCTGCTAATTCTTTCTATATTTAGTACGAGACCACGGGTTTGGCTCCTTGCTCGGCTGGTCTTGAACCTTCAGCCTCAAGCCAAATCTCTGGCCATCGCCTCTCCACCAAGAGTGCCAAGATTATGGCGGAGCACAAGCCTGGCCTGCTTTCTTCTCCTTTTTTTTTTCATTAAAAAACGAAGAGTCTTCATTTGTTGCCCAGAGATTAAGAAGAAACAGCAGAGACCAAGATGGCATCAGCCAGAACAATTAAAAGCAACTCGTCTCATAGGGCTCAAGCATTAGATTCAGAGCTCAGTCCTTGAGATAAGAACCAAGAGAGACATGAAGAAAAATCCAACAAAACGCCACCAAAACCACACCACACATGGCTAACATATATAGGTATTATATGATATTACACCAGAAAAAAAATTTTTATGGTCCAATTAATACATAACACTCATCATTTTTATAGGAAGGGGGTCCTTGCAACACATTACACGACAATAGAGACAAATATACAGAACACAAATAGAATCACAGACAACAGAAATGGACATTTAGAGCAAGAGACGATGAGACTTAAGAGATCCACACAAAAACAAGGTGTCGCAGCACCAGCCGGCTGCTTTGTCTTCTTTATTGGCCAATTATAGCACTTCACCTTCATGAGTTCATGACTCTATGAGTTTGAGTCTTAGAACTCATGTTGTTTTGTTTTTGTTTTTTGAAGACAGAGTCTCCATCTGTCTGCCACAGGCTTAGGCGTCGAGTGCTCGTGGCATCAGCTTGCTCAGCAGCACCTCAACTCCTGCGTCCAAGCCAATCCTTCTACCTCAGCCTCAGTAGCTGGACTTACAGGCAGTGTGCCACCATGCCGGGCTATTTTTCTATACTTTTGTAGTTGGCCAATTATTTCTATTTTTACGTAGAGATTGGGTCACTGCTCTTGCTCAGGGTGGTTGTTCCAAAACTACTGACCTTGAGCGATCCACCAGCCTCGCCTCCCAGAGTACAGCATGGAGCAACCATGCCACCTCAATGGTTGTTTTTCTCTTTTCTTTTTTTTTGAACAGAGTCTCGTCTTTGTTCGCCTCAGCTTTAGAGTGGAGTCGCATGGCGTCAGCCTAGCTCACGCAACCTCAATCTCCTGCTCAAGCGAGTCCTGTGCCTCAGCCTCACCGAGTAGCCTGGGCATACAGGCATGGTGCCACCATGCCCGGCTAATTGGCAATTAATTCTTTCTATTTATATACGCAGACGGGGTCTTGCTCTTGCTCAGGCTGGTTTCGAACTCCTGACCTCCCGAGCCATCCGCCCGCCTTTAGCCTCCCAGAGAGCTAGGATTACAGGGTGGCACCCGCGCCCGGACTCATGGTTTTTTTATTTTTAGTCAGCCACCTGATCTGGCTTTATTAGTTAAGCAAAGCAAGAATTTTTTAAAAAATAAATGAAGGATCGTTATAAAAGAGGTATACTTTAGGATCCTGGAGATTTATAAATATTTCAAAAGAAACTAGAAGCAGGCGTAGACATTTCACTTTGGTAGTTTGAATAACAATCCTAACCTAACGATCAGGGAAGTGAGAATGGAGTAAAGACAGCATATTAGACAGATTGATTAAGCGTTCCTGCTGGGTGGGACAGGGGATGTGAACATATGTTTAAGCTTTAAAACTTAAATAGAACTGAGGATGACAGTAGGATGTTGGGCAGTGGCCAGTTATTAGGTTGGGCATGTGATGAATAGAGATCAAGCCTGGTGTGGAAAGACAAAAATGGTGCTCCAGTGACCACATTAAATGCCAGAATAGTGTATACAGCAGTACAAGGGACTTCTAAAGGAGGCTAAAATAGGTGCTCCCAGTATCATGATTCACTCGTAAAAAGCAAATGTATTACAAGGAAATAGACTTGTAGACGAGTTGGAGGGCAAGGATGTCTGAGCGCTGGGGAAGATGGCTCGTTGAGCTGTGTCTCAATGAATCAGGCAGAACTTATACAGCAAGCGGACAGGAAGGTCAGTTCTGATTCTTATGCCACATATTCTCTTTATCATCCTACTCCCTTCTTGTTTTGGTGTCCTATGTCATTTCTCTTCTTTTCACTAAGGATGTATAGCTACATTCGCAATGAGCTATGGCCTAGCCAGTGTAGAAAATTACTAATCTACAGAGGGGATGATCCTTGGACTACTTAACCAAACTCTTAGAAACCCATTGAGCAAACAGGCTTCTTCTGAGAAATTCTCTGATGAAGATGGTTGCTTCCTTCATGGCGATCATTTTGGCAGGCACGGTTCTCAATGCTATGTGGGTAAGACAGGCCTTGGAACTGTGGTGGAGGTAATTCCACAAGGGGCTTCACCGTGCTGTGGTGGCCTAACTTTACGGCCCAAGGTGGGGAGGTTGCCCTCTGTGAACTTCAGACATTCATAAAGGTATTTGTATCTAGATGTGTATTTTAGGGAGAGAGAGTCCTAAGTTTTTGAGTTCAGTGACTCTCAAGTGGCCGGGCCAGAGGCCCATTTTTCACTGTCTGGAGACATTTAGAGAGGACATTCTTAATTGAAGGTTGGAGAGTTTGGTAGGCGGATCTTTACAGTTCGAATCTTTTCTATTCAGATTCAGATTCCAAACTTTCTTTCTTCCTGCTGACAGGGGCGGATGTTCATTGTCTCTTCTGATTCTGGCCCATTGGGCAGTTAGAAGGTGGCATAAGCTTTTTGCTCAGGGCTCCTTCCAGGCTGTTCCAAAGGCCATCTCTTATATCTGGGATCAGTAATGTACATAGGAGGAGAAACAAGGACCAAAAGACAGGTAACGCTTTAACTTTCATTTTCTTTCTCATATTCCTCTAAATAAATGATGCTCAGGCGTGGAAAACCTCTCTTCTGGTTACTCTCACTTAATCCACAATGATGGAAGTTAATTGCATATGCTCGTCCATGTGAATATTCCCAATGTCACTCCAGTGCAGAAGCATGACTCCTTGGATTAAAAAATATTCTCATTCTCAAAGTAAAAATTCCTTAATTTGAACTTACTGACATTCTGAATGAAACTGGCCTCAATAAAATGCAAGAGACAGTTATCTTGAAGAACAAAACCTTTATAATCTCCTTAGAATTACAGAGACCAATTAAGAAGGTTATAGAATTATTTTTAGGGTGTATAAGTATAGTATGTTGGAAACACTAAAGAAATGTTGCTTCCTATTCCCTCTAGGAAATCCCACAAAGATGTACGAATGGTTACCAATTGGATCTGAGACCGCGTTCAGACTTCTATGACATCGTCTTGGTGCTACTCCATTTGAATCAAAAAAGGGCGTCCATATTACTCTTTTCTCAACTTTGATTCTCCAATTGAGGAATTCCATCAAATTATGAACATTATAGTGACACTTTAGTTAGGGAATTGAATTCATCTGTCTTTAGCTTCGGTCCATAGATAACTTTGGCCTTCGTCAGTTTAACCACTGATAATTCAGATTCATTCATTAACAGTCTGAGACTAAGTACTCTGTAAGGAAAAGGAAACTCCTCAATCATCAACAGATGGAACATATGTTTGGAGGATGTTTTCCCCCGAAATCTTACTAAAGCACAAATTTGAAGCTCTTTTCGTCCTATGATTATGCCGTGAAGAAGTCATGGCTTGCATATCCTCACTATGAGCCCCCAGAGAAATGCCCCTCCGTCATACTTCATGATCGACTGTATTATATCACTGGCATAGAGTGTGCAACAAGTGCCATGGAAATGAGTGCCATTGCAGCCTACAACGCTGCGCTCCTTGCCCTATCACCGCTGAATGGACAACAGCATGATGACCAGGATGGTTTATATGAGAAACTTAAAACTGAGTTATAAAATGACAGTATCCTCTGTTTTCGTCTCCTAATTCCAATGAGTATCACTGGCAAAAAAGGACAAAGTCTGAGCAGAGATTTTGAATAGGATATTTTGCCAATATCACTGTTGAAACAGAAGTATCCTGTGGGTCATAGAGAAAAATAAAAGGTTCTAATTAAGCGTGATGATCGAACTATTGCACTTATGCCCTCTCCAAAATTTTCTTAAGTTTCTTTCAATATCCATTAGTAGTGTTGCTCAAACTTGATCTGATCCTAAGAATTACCTGGAGTTTTTAAAATGTGCATTCTTTTAGCTCCTCTTAGAGATTGTTCATGTATACGCCTCTGGCGGGAGAGCCCTGGAATTTCGATCAAACATAAGCATCGGGCCAGCCCGTGGCTTCATGCCTGTACATCCCTAGCAGCTCTGGGAGGTTGAGGCAGGCGGATGCTCAGGTTCAGCCGAGTTGAAACGTAGCTGAGCAAGACGCAACGACCCCGTCTTCTACTAAAATACGAATAATCTAATTGGTTCAACTAAAAAAATAATTAGCCGGCATAGTATGCCAGCCCACCCGGAGGCTGAGGCAGGAGGGCTTTTGTAGGCCCAGGAGTTGTGAGGTTGCTGTGATCTAGGCTGACTCCACGGTACTCCCTAACGCCGGACCCACAGAGTGAGACTGTCTCAAAAAAAAAAAAAAAAAAAAGTCACTAGAAAAACGCAAGAGCATTTTAAGCTGAACACTTGAGGGAGAACTTAAAGACCATGTTAGTTGGGGACTGGTCCATTTGAACTTTACATCTGGATGTGATCTTCAGTCAGATAAAACTAATAAGGGAGCTGGTGTCTTTATGCCTGGCTCTTAGTAATTTTACACCCTCTTTTGAAGTAAATGTGCTCATGCTCAAAGCCTTGACTTTCAGAATGTTGTCCTTTGATTGCTTCTGTCTTGATATTAATAGGGGTGAAATTTATGTTTTAGTAATTTAACCTTAAGATGTCATACAAAAAATCTGAAGTAAATGAAAAGCAAATATGGGCTATTGAGGTAGAAATTGGCATTCTACTATACCTTCACTTCAGGAGCTTTTAAAAATACTGACAGATCCCCAGAAACAGAGATTCTGATTTAATGGATGGAGGATAGAACCCTTGGCACTGTAACCTTTTAAAATTCCCAATGTGCAACCAGGGTTGAGAATCACTGATATGGGGGCAAAACTGTCTACAAAGGGTTTTTACTGCCTTCAAAGCAGATCCATTTTGCAAGGAATGATTTCTCAATGAGAACTTCAGTAGTAATCTTGATAGTAAGAAGCACTGACAGTCTAACAGCAGAGGCAACTTAGGTAACTCCAGAGTAGTTGGCACTAAAGTAGGATATTCAGAATCACAACAAGCTTGACCAAATGCAGCACATGTTCAAAGTGTTAAATGTTTCAGTTACTGCAGAATTCTGAGTGACAAACCGGTTCCTGAAGTCCACATTGTAATCACATGTAGGGCTGTAAAGCATCCCAATTGATTTTAATATGCAGCTAAAACTTGAGAACCAGTTCTACATCTGTTGTACAGAGATCATGGTTGGCTGTCGTAGGCAATGGTAGAACAGAACAAGTACATGCTTAAGAATTCTAATTATAGGCTGACGGCGGTGGCTCACGCCTGTAATCCTCACACTCTGGGAGGCCGAGGTGGTAGGAATGCTTGAGCTCAGGAGTTTAAGACCAGCCTGAGCAAGAGTGAGACCCCGTCTCTACTACAAATAGGAAGAAATTAGTGGAACAACTAAAAATATACAGAAAAAATTAGCCGGGCATGGTGGTGCATGCCTGTAATCCCAGCTGCTCGGGAGGCTGAGGCAGGAGGATCACTTGAGCCCAGGACTTCCAATAAAATTGCTTCATACTGTAGTTCCATTAAAACTACCTAATATGCCTGGTGTATTAATAACCTGTTTCGGTTTTGAGAAAGCAATTTCAGATGCCCTACTGGGAATTTTTTTTTTTTTTTTTTTTTTTGAGACAGTCTTGCTATGGTGCCCCAGCTAGAGTGCAGTGGCATCATCATAGCTCACAGCAACCTTAAACTCCTGGGCTCAAGTGATCCTCCTGCCTCAGCCTCTGGAGCAGCTGGGACTAGTCATGTGCCACCATGTCCAGCTAATTTTTCTTTTTTTTTTTTTTTTTTTTTTTTTTTTGAGACAGAGTCTCACTCTGTTGCCCTGGCTAGAGTGCCGAGGTGTCAGCCTAGCTCACAGCAACCACAAATTCCTGGGCTCAAGTGATCCTCCTGCCTCAGCCTCGAGCAGCTGGATTACAGGCATGCACCACCAGCCGGCTAATTTTTCTGTATATTTTAGTTGTTCCACTAATCTTCTATTTGTAGTAGAGACGGGGTCTCACTCTTGCTCAGGCTGGTCTTAAACTCTGAGCTCAAGCATTCCTCACCCCTCGGCCTCCAGATGTGAGGGATTCAGGCGTGAGCCACGCCGTCGGCCTATAATTAGAATTCTTAAGCATGCTACTTGTCTCTGTTCTACCATTGCCTACGACAGCCAACCATGATCTCTGTACAACAAGTAGAACTGGTTCTCAAGTTTAGCTGCATATTAAACAATGGATGCTTTACAGGCCTACATGTGATTACAATGTGACTTCAGGAACCGGTTTGTCACCAGAATTCGCAGTAACTGAAACATTTAACACTTTGAACATGTGCTGCATTTGGTCAAGCTTGTTGTGATTCTGATATCCTACTTAGTGCGAACTACTCTGGAGTTACCTAAGTTGGCCTCTGCTGTTAGACTGTCAATGCTTCTTACTATCAAGATTACTACTGAAGTCTCATTTGAGAAAATCATTCCTTTGCAAAATGGATCTGCTTTGAAGCAGTAAAACCCTTTGTAGACAGTTTTGCCCCCATATCAGTGATTTCAACCTGGTTGCACATTGGGAATTTAAAAGGTTACAGTGCCAAGGGTTCTATCTCCATCCATAAATCAGAATCTCTGTTTCTGGGATCTGTCAGTATTTTAAAAGCTCCTGAAGTGAAGGTATAGTTAAGAATGCCAATTTCTACCTCAATAGCCCATATTGCTTCATTTACTCAGATTTTGTATGACATCTTAAGGTTAAATTACTAAAACATAAAATTTCACCCTATTAATATCAAGACAGAAGCAATCAAAGGACAACATTCCTGAAGTCAAGCTTTGAGCATGAGCACATTACTTCAAAGAGGGTGTAAATACTAAGAGCCAGGCATAAGACGCCAGCCCCTATTAGTTTTATCTTGACTGAAGATCACATCCGATGTAAGTTCAAATGGACCAGTTCCAACTAACATGGTCTTAAGTTCTCCCTCAAGTGTCAGCTTAAAGCCTCTTGCGTTCTAGGACTTTTTTTTTTTTTTTTTTTTTTTTGAGACAGTCTCACTCTGTTGTCACGGCTTAGAGTACCCGTGGAGTCAGCCTAGATCGACAGCAACCTCCAAACTCCGGGCCTCAAAGCACCCTCACTGCTCCAGCTCCGTGGTGGGCTGGCATACATGCCGCTAATTTTTCTTTTTTAGTTGAACCAATTAGATTTATTTCCTATTTTAGTAGAGACGGGTCTCTTGCTCTTGCTGCAGGCTACGTTTCAAACTCCTGACCTTGAGCAATCCGCCTCCATCCAACCCCCAGACTGCTAGGATCTACAGGCAATGAGCCACGGGCCTGGCCCATGCCTTATGTTTGATTCAAAAATCCAGGCTCTCCCCAGACTTACTGAAACAATCTCTAAGCAGAGGCAAAGAATTCACTTTTAAAAAACTCCAGTAATTCTTAGATCAGAACAGAACAGTTTGAGCAACACTACTATGGATATTGAAGAATCTTAGAAAATTTTGGAGAGGGCAATAAGTTGCAATAGTTTACATCATCACAGCTTAATTAGAACCTTTTATTTTTCTTATGACCCACAAGGGTTACTTCTGTTTCAACAGTGATATGGCAAAATATCCTATTCAAAATCATTCTGCGCTCAGACTTTGTCCTTTTTGGCCAGTGCATACTTCATTGGAGTAGGAGACCGAAAACAGGGATACTGTCATTTTATAACTCAGATTTTAAGTTTCTCATATAAACATCCTGGTCACATGTCTGTGTGTCATTCCGGCGGTGATAAAGGGCAAGGAGGCGCAGCGTTGTAGGCTGCAATGGCACTCATTTCCATGGCACTTGTTGCACACTCTTATGCCAGTGATAAATCACAGTCGATCATGAAGTATGAGACGGAGGGGCAATTTTCTCGGGGGCTCATAGTGAGGATATGCCAAAGCCATGACTTCTTCACGGCAATAATGCATAGGACGAAAAGAGCTTCAAATTGTGCTTAGTAAGATTTCTGGGGAAAACATCCTCCAAGACATATGTTCCATCTGTTGATGATTGAGGAGTTTACCTTTTGCCCTTACAGGTACTATCTCAGAACTGTTATGATGAATCTGAATTATCATGGTTAAACTGTTACACGAAGGCCAAAGTTATCTTATGGACAGAGCTAAAGACAGATGAATTCAATTCCCACTTAACTAAAGTGTCACTAATATGTTTCCTATTTGATGGAATTCCTCAATTGGAGAAATCAAAGTTGAGAAAGTAATATACTGGCACATTTTTTGATTCAATGGAGTAGCACCAAGACGATGTCCATAGAGTCTGAAACGGGTCTCAGATCAATTTGGTAGCACCATTCGTCAGCATCTTTGTGGGATTTCCTAAGAGGGAATAGGCAAGCACACATTTCTTTAGTGTTCTCAACATACTATAGCTTCTATACACCCTTAAAAACTAATTCTAAACCTTCTTAATTGGTGTCTCTGTAATTCTAAGGAATTAAGGGTTTGTTCTTCAATAACCTGTCTCTTGCCATTTTATTGAGGCCCAGTTTTCTATCAGATGTCAGTAAGTTCAATTAAGGAATTTTTACTTTGAGATGAGATTATTTTTTAATCCAAGGAGTCATGCTCTGCACTGAGTACATTGGAAATTCTACATGGCACAGCATATGCAATTTAACTCATCATTGTGGATTAAGTGAGAGTAACCAGAAGAGAGGTTTCCACCCTGAGCATCATTTTTATAGAGGAATATGGAGAAAGAAAATGAAAGTTAAAGCTTACCTGTCTTTTGGTCCTTGTTCTCCTCCTATGTACATTATGAGCCCAGATAATAAAGATGCCTTTGGAAGCCTACGGAAGGAGCCTGAGCAAAAACTATTGCCACCTTCTAACTGCCCAATGGGCCAGAATCAGAAGAAGGACAATTGACATCCGCCCCTGTCAGCAGGAAGAAAAATGTTTGAATTCTGAATCTGAATAGACAAAATTCGAATCTGTAAGAGATCCCCTACAACTCTCCACTCAATTAGAAATGTCCTCCTCTAAATGTCTCCAGACATTGAAAAATGGCCTCTGGGGCCACTTGAGAGTCACTGAACTCATAAAACTTAGGATCTCTCTCCCTAAAAATACACATCTAGATACATAATCCTATAATGTCGAAGTTCACAGAGAGGCAAACTCCCACCTTGGCCTAAAGTTAGGAGCCACCACAGCATCGGGTGAAGCCCCTTTGTGGAATTACCTCCACCACAGTTCCAAGCCTGTCTTACCCACAAGCATTGAGAACCGTGCCCTGGCCAAAATTGATCCCATGAAGGAAGCAACCATTTCATCAGAAGAATTTCTCAGAAGAAGCCTGCTTTCTCAAGGGTTTCAAGAGTGTTGGTTAAGTAGTCCAAGGATTCATCCCTCTGTAGCATGTAGTAATTTTATACACTGCTGAAGGCCATACCATGAGATTGGTAGCTATAGATCCTTTATGAAAGAAGAGAAATGCCATTAGACACCAAACAAGAAGGGAGTAGGGATGTATAAAGAGGAAATGTGCATAAGAATCAAACTGACTTCCATGTTCCCTTCTGATAAGTTCACCTATCATTGAGACACAGCTCAAGACCATCTTCCCCAGCGCTCAGACAATCCTTGCCCTCCAACTCTCTAAAAGTTATTGTCTTCTTTGTAAATACGATCTTGCTTTTTACAGTAATATGATACTGGGAGCACCTATTTTAGCCTCCTTTAGAAGCCCTTGTCTGCCTGTATACATATTCTGGCATTAATGTGGTCACTGGACACCATTTTTGTCTCCAACACCAGGCTTGATCTCTATCATCACATCCCAAACCTAATAACTGGCCACTGCCCAACATCCTACTGTCATCCCTCAGTTTATTTAGTTTTAAAGCTAAACATATTCACATCCCCCTGCCTCCCACCCAGCAGGAAACCTTATCAATCTCAATATTCGTCTTTACTGCCATTCTCACTTCCTGATCTTAGGTTAGGATTTTATTTCAAACACCAAAGTGAAATGACTAACCCTGCTTCTAGTTTCTTTTGAAATATTTATAAATCCCAGGATCCTAAAGTATACCTCTTTTATAACATCCTTCCATTTATTTTTAAAAAATTCTTGCTTTTGCTTAACTATAAAGCCAGATCATGTGGCTGAAAAAAAAATATAAAACCAACCATGGCCAGGGCGCGGTGGCTCACGCCTGTAATCCCTAAGCTCTCTGGGAGGCTAAGGCGGGCGGATTGCTCGAGGTCGGAGTTCGAACCAGCCTGAGCAAGAGCAAGACCCCGTCTCCTACTATAAATAGAAAGAATTAATTGGCCCAATTAGCCGGGCATCGGTGGCCCATGCCTGTATCCAGCTTACTCGGGAGGCCTGAGGCAGCAGGACTCGCTTGAGCAGGAGATTGAGGTTGCTGTGAGCTAGGCTGACGCCATGGCACTCCACCTCTAAAGCCCTGGGCAACAAAGCGCAGACTCTGTCCTCAAAAAAAAAAGGAAAAACACATGAAGGTGGACATGGTTGCTCCATGCCTGTATCTGGGAGGCCGAGGCTGGTGGATCGCTCAAGGTCAGTAGTTTTGGAACAACCACCCTGAGCCAAGAGCAAGACCCCAATCTCTACTAATAGAATTAATTGGCCCAACCTACAAAATATAGAAAAATAGCCGGCATGGTGGCACATGCCTGTAAGTCAGCTACTGAGGCTGAGGTAGAAGGATTGCTTGAGCGCAAGGATTTGAGGTTTGCCTGAGCAAGCTGATGCCCAGCACTCTACGCCCCTAAGCCTGGGCCAACAGAGGAGACCTGCTTCAAAAACAAAAACAAAACAACCATGAGTTCTAAGACTCAAACTCATGAAGTCATGAACTCATGAAGGTGAAGTGCTATAATTGCCATAAAGAAACAAGCCAGGCCGGGCGTGGGTGGCTCAACAACGCTGTAATCTAGCATCTCTGGAGGCCAGGCAGGCGGATTGCTTGAGGTCAGGAGTTCGAAACGCCTAAGCAAGACCAGTTCTACTAAAAATAGAAGTAATAATTACACCTAAAAAATATATAGCAAAAAATTAGCCGGGCATGGTGGCGCAATGGCTGTCGCCCGCTACTCAGGCGGCTGAGGCCAGGAGGATCACTTGAGGAGCAGGAGACTGAGGTTGCTATGAGCTTGGCTGATGCCACGGTCCTCATCTAAAGCCTGGGCAACAAAGTGAACTCTGTCTTAAAAAAAAAAAAAAGAAAAGCAGGCCACGGCCTTGGTGGGCTCACGCCATTAAATCTGGCACTGCTGAGAGCCGATGCCAGAGGAATTGTGAGCTGAAGAAGTTCAAGACACCTGAGCAAAGAGCAAGACCCTGTCCTTCCTACTAAAAGATAGAAAAATAGCCAGGCATGGGGAACGTATGCCTGTAGTCAGCGCTTGGAGGATGTGGCCAGGGGATTGCTTTGCGCACAGGAGTTATGAGGTTGTGTTAGTTCATGACACCACTGACTCTAGCCCCAGGTGACAAGCAAGACCTCTCCCACAATCCA